AATGATTGGCTCCTTACTTTATCTAACTTCTAGTCGACCAGATATTATGTTCAGTGTGCGTAAATATGCTAGGTTTCAGTCAGCTCCTAAAGAATCGCACCTGGCAGCAGTAAAGAGAATAATATGTTATCTCATCGGAACCGCTTCATATGGACAGTGGCACCCACGATCTAACAATTTTAATCTTGAAGGTTTTTCAGATGCTAATCTTGTGGGTGATAAGGAAGACAGGAAAAGCACTCCAGTGGAACATGTCAATTACTAGGAATGGCATTAATATCCTGGAACAGTAAAAAACAAGGCTCAATTGCATTATCCACAACTGAGGCAGAGTATATTGCCATAGGATAGTGTTGTGCACAATTACTGTGGATGTCTCATCAACTGGGTGACTATGAATTATCTTTTAAACCTATTCAAATATTTTGTGATAATTCTAGTGTAATATGCCTCTCAAAAATTCATGTACATCATTCAAGGGCTAAGCATATAGATATTAAGCATCATTTCATCAGAGATCATGTCATTAAGGGAGGTATAGAATTATCATTTGTTAGCACTATTAATCAACTAGTAGACATTTTTACTAAGCCCTTGCTTGAGGATAGATTCTGCACTTTAAGAGAACTTCTTGGCATTATTTCGCTTGATCATAGAAATTAGGACTTGTGTGTTAATTCTAATTCCTGTGTGACTAATGTTTTTAGTTTTCTTTCTTTTGTAAGAACGCATTAATTGAGCGCCTCCAATTTCCCTCTCTTTTCCCATCAGTCGCAACTTTCAAGAAAGGAAAATCAATCATCATGCCTTTCACTGATGCTCATTCCTTTCCTGTACTCAACCGTCAAATCTGTTCTTTTTAACCCTCTGAATCACCCTTCCTCTTCTTCATTGTTCTTATCACTCACAAGCCCTTCTCCAAAAACCCTTCAATGGTAAAACACTCTAAGAATCCCTCTGCCTCTACCAGAAAAAGTACTCGCTCTGAGGCAAAACCCTCCTCTCAGCCTCCAGAACAACTACCTAGGGTCCAACCACTTTGGAAGGGTTTACCTCTTCTCAGGCAGAGCCATCTGACTACACTCACTGAATAGGCAAAAAAGCTCTTGGGAAAAGACCCATAGAAGACCCCCTGAATCTTTTACCCCCAAGAAATCCAAGGTAGACCTGTCGAGTTCTCTAGAGTCAGACCATAACTTTTGGGATCCTCCAAATAGAGATTTATTCGTTGCCCTCAAAGAGAAGCCCATTTCCCACGGCAAAGTAATCGATCTTGATGACTCAATTGCAAGGTAAAGGATCTGTTCGTTTTTCAGGGATGGTCAAATTTCCTCTCTTTACCCCCTACTAAAGTCTATGAACCTCTAGTCAGGATGTTATATGCCAATCTCCGCTCTAGCAAGCCTGATAAGTTAGAATCCCTAGTTCTAGGAAAACGCATTGTTCTTGATTATGTTATGTTTGACTCAATTTTTTAGTGCAAGTGCTCTGGTTTCCCCATGCTTTTCGAAAATACCTAGCCTGAAGATTTTGAAATTACTTTTGATCAAGTAAAGCGATATATAGCTGTGTGTCCCTATGATTTCCTCCCTAACTAGTTAGGTCCCAGTGATGTTAGTTTTGAAACTCTAGTTCTGGCCCACATTGTTACAACTACTCTTTTTCCTCGCATTGGCTCATTTTTCACTTTCTCTCAATGATACACCTTTATTTTCTATTGTCTAGTAACCAAGCTTAAGGTCAAATTGTCCTCATGGGTCATAAATTTTATGGTTAAAAGTGCTGATGACCCCACCAATCTACTATACAGTGTGGTTATCCCTCATCTTTTGGAAGCCCACAACATCTCTATCTTAAAATATCCTTTTATCTCTGTCACCAAATCCTACATCTCTAGAGCCTTTTCCAGTATAGGGTATGTGTGCGTTACGGGTTCCTGGGTGAAGAAACATAAGGGAGAAATCAAGAATGTTCAGCCTGATTTAAAGGTCAAAGCCTCTAGTTCCCATCATAGTGTAAGTAATCTTGATCTTGTAGAAAAATTGACTGTCATTGACAATAAGCTGACCATCATCAAGGACTTTCTTGTTGCAACTCAATCAACTGTTAGGGACATTCATGCCATCTCTAAGGAAGTACATGACAGGATTGATGGGGTGTTAGTTTCAGCAAATGCCAGCTTTGATCGTATGAAGGAGGCAATTTGCAACACTCTCATTTATTTCTTGCATCGTTACTTGTGGATGTCTCAGACAATATTTTTTGTTGTTTTGGATTGGATAACCAGTCATTGGATTTTTTTTGTTATTTTTGCTAACTCTGCATGCCTATAACTGCAGAGTTATAGACCCTTGTGGTCCGGTCCTTCCCCCGACCCCGCGCATAGTGGGAGCTTAGTGCACCCGGCTACCCATATGCATGCCTATAACTGCCTATATTTTCCTAAATTGCTTGCCTTTATCTGCTTTATTTTATACATATGTATATCCCCTCTTTGTTGATGCGAAAAAACGGGGAGAAAAGGTTAATTATAGTGCAGGTCAAATAGCAGAACTTGTTGAGGGGGAGTTGACTGCCACATCATGGAAGTCAACTTAGAAGTCGACTACAGCAAACCAAGCACCAACTATAATAGTGAAATACACTTCTTTTATATATTATTTTATCATCGTAAAAAAAGGGAGATTGTTAAATATAAGTTTTAATGATGAAAAATAACATATTATTATGGTGCAGGATCACGAGGGACAAAACGATAGACTCGAGAAGCTCTATCATTCAAGTATGGAAGAAGTCGAGAAAGGAATAAGTAAAAGAGTTAAAGAAAAGATCTGTCAACGGAAGCAAGTAAGAAAGGATAATGATTGAAGCGATAATGATTGAAGAAACACTCCAGAAGCAAAGGAAAGGAAAACTATCAAAAATTAGAGACGAAAAAGGAAGAAGTAGCGGAAATCCGAAAGAAGAATCAATCAAGGATTTGATAGCAGATTAACAGAGAGAATTATAGGAAGGTCCCAAATTAAAGAAAAACAAGATCACTAATCTATGCACCGTAGATTCCTTCATCAAAGAAAGACTGTTAAAGACCGGAACCAAGGGATCTAATTTTGATTGCTCAAATAAAAGAAATATTTGCGTAGCGAAGGAAAAGTCTATCAAGACCACAAGTCAAGGCAAATCAACGGAAGCTCCACCTTATTCTTGGAAAGTATCACTCTACGATTCTTTTCTAGGATCAACTCCCTTGGGTCTGTAATCTCTCAAGATTCACATCAATCAAGAGTCAAGAATACTTCACGAAGCATATATACATCTGTACCAGTCTTGAAGCGGACATATTTTGAATGGACCACTATCACTCTTTCTGTTCTACTCCAAACAAGCATTGTAGTTCTCTTTAGATCTGTTGTATAATTAGTGAGAGAAAAAAAAGAGATAAACACTGCTGAGGCACTGTATCACAAAGCGAGAAGTGACATAGTGGCTAAGTTGTTGGTGTAAAGCTACATCAATTCTCTTGTAATCGAGAAACTTCAAATACTGAAAGAGAACACCATTGCAATTCAAGGGGACTGGGCATAGGATTCACATTGAATCCGAACCAATATAAAAATAGTGGTGCCTTTACTTCAACAACAACAACAACAACAACAAGCCAGTATAATCCCACACGTGTGGTCTGGGGAGGGTAATATATACGCAGACCTTACCCCTACCCCGAAGGGTAGAGAGGCTGTTTCCAGGAGACCCTAGGCTCAAAAAAAACAACAGAAGCCGATATATTAGTACCACAAAAATGTATAATAAAATAACAGCGATACAATAGATATGAAATACAGAATACGAAATACGAAAAAGATGGCTGGTATAGTAAAACTAGCAGGTAAAGCTCTGCATCAATAGACGACCAATGACCTTCTTAGTCTAACTCCTAACTGGCTAGTCTCACTCTATATTCTGTTCGTACCTTATAATTCATCCCCTTGTACCACAAAGTACTTTCGCAATGAAACTATTCCACTTGCAAGCATAAGAAACAACTATTCTGAAAAGTAAAAAAAAAAAATACGCCTTTCGACAACTTATATGTGTGTAAGAAAAAGTTTTACATCAAATTAACGGGAAAGAAAATCTGGCCTGCAGAGTGGTAGTTAGGAATTCTTTTATCTCTTTCTTATGTCTTTTCCTAAGATAAATTTCATTTAATTATAACTTCTCAATCTTATCTAAGATTCTCCCAGAATTAATAAAAGTGAACAAACAATGATATCAAAATCATTTGCCAAATAAATGTTAGACAAAGATGACATGAAAGAAGCTGTCATTTATGTCTTTATTGTAGTACTAGTGGTGCATGTGCTTATCTTTTGGTGTGTTGTTGCTCAAACCCTTCTCAACCACCCAAGATTCCTAGTCACTAGCTACGAGCTATAGTCAACATTCTACATTTATTTTTGCCATTTGGAAGTTTCTCTTTCTTTCTTTTGTTCTTTCTCTTTTCTTTTTTTTTGGGGGAAGGGGGGTTCTCAGATCATATTTACTACGAGAAATTAAACATGTTTAGTTTAATTAGAGACTTGTATGCAATATAGGAATAAAAACGGGATTAAGATAATTTGAACTTTTAGGAATCTCCTAATTTAAATTTAAACTATAAATTATTCAGTATTAAAATGACATAGACCAAACAGTACAAAACTTCTTTTAATTATATGGTCATTTTCACAGAAAACCGGTAAAGTATAGCATAGAAGATCAGTAAATAAAACAAGATATTTTTTTTATAAAATGAATTTCTTCTATTCAAATAGTAACTAGCCAGGGGAGATTATTTCCTCGACCGGACCCAAATACAGCGAAGGCACTTGTATATTGTATTCTCAACATGATGCCTAAGTCGACTTTTCACAATTAAAATATACTACGTTAATTAAATATTGTTACATCTTACTTTCACAACAGTTCTCTACATATATAAATATTGCTCTGAAAAATATATTTATCAGTACTTTACAGTTTACATAATCGAGTTAACAAGAGATAAGTACTCCGTTTGAAACACTCAAGCGTAATTAGCTATAAAATCCCACTAAAGCTATCCAAAGAAAATGTATGGAATAAACAGAGAAGTAGAAATTATGCATTGTAGCCAATATCTTCACTTAGTGCTTCTTGTCTCTGTCATTTTGACAAGTAGTTGTGTTAATGCTCAGCTCCAGAGGGACTTCTATCGGAATTTATGTCCAAATGTGGAGTCCATCGTCCGATCAGCAGTTGAAGACAAGTTTAAACAGACAATTGTTACAGCAGCAGCAACACTTAGACTCTTCTTCCACGATTGCTTTATACAGGTATTCTTTTGCATCTTCACCAAGTGAGTGAAACACTGTGTTTGTGGTATAGTTGATGAGTTGACGGTGTAAAAAATCTATAAATTTCGAGTCCATCCGGTCATGTAAAAGGTAATTGTAATTGAATAGTTAAATTAACAACTTAAAAAATAAGGCAGGTAATCTGCTACAACAAGTATATTTATATTGGAAGTATTTTTTTTTTTTTAACTCCGTTAGTGTATATTACAAGGTTAATCCTAGTTTACAGCATGCAAAAATTTCTATGAGCCTCCAGGCAAATTCATCTTATGTATAATTATAGTTGTCACATGTCATTATGTTCTATCTTATATGTATTACTTTTGACTAAAAATGTTCATGTTCCGTTGGTAGGTTTTCAAAAATAAATTCATATATTCATGTGCATATAGAGGGATAAGTAAAAGGTTTAGGCGATGGATACTTGTTGATCCGTTGCTGGACATAATCATCTCTTGATTATGATTTCTTTGTTGTTACTTATCGATTATCGTAATCATAATTATATGACGTCCTAGAATTTGTATAAAAAACTAGTAAGTTAAAGGACACTCCGATCCGTAGTTCAGATTTATATAAAACTTTCTACTTTGAGACGTTTCATGTCATTCAATTTAACTTTCAAGAACTCGATGTTTTCTCAGTCAAACTAATTTTTCGGTCACTATTCAATGTATTTTGGCTTAATGGTGTCATAACAATTAATGTTAGGGCTGTGATGCTTCCATCATACTGAGGTCGGCAGGAAATAACACAGCAGAAAAGGATCATCCAGACAATCTGTCCCTTGCTGGAGATGGATTTGACACTGTTATTAAAGCCAAAGCTGCAGTTGATAATGTCCCTGCTTGTAAGAACAAAGTCTCTTGTGCTGATATCTTGGCCATGGCCGCTAGAGATGTCATTGCATTGGTAAAACCAAAATACCCTTTGTAACTTGCTTCTCTCTTCTTCTTTTGAACTTTGTGTATTTGGTATTTTTGTGATTTGATTGCTTAATTTGCTGAGTAAATTATTTCAAGATAATTATTTCCATGAGGTTAGCTCCAAAATATATGATAACCGAACCCCGTTCTACGACTATAGGACAAACACCTCTCTAATTTAAATAATAGTTCAACCTTGTGCGTGATATGAGACAGCAATGTTCTAAGCATCTTTAGATGTGGCATTCACTCTCTTTCTGAAGTACTTGGAAATGAATGTAACTAGCCGTACTTGTTTTACTATTCTTTTATTAAAAATTATGACTTCTGAATGTTGTTGTTATAATAATAGTTATAGTTATCGCCACTTGCTTTGGTGATGAGGACTTAGAATTTGTAATAATTAAGTATTGGATGTGTAGGCAGGAGGACCGCACTATGCTGTTGAATTAGGAAGGAGGGACGGCAGAATGTCTTCACAAACTAGTGTGCAAAACAATCTACCTCACTCTAACTCCGGCTTACAGAAACTCCTTCCTATGTTTGCCTCTCGTGGACTATCTATCAGACATTTGATTGCCCTCTCAGGTATATTACCAATACCAATTTCTTTTCTTTTCTTCTTCATCTATTTACAATATTTTACTTTCGTTGATATAAGATACTATAAATTATCCATCTTTTTAGGGAGATAAATTTGATCACTTTACCTTGCTCTTTGCAAGTGATTAGAAAAATATGACCTTTACCAGTAAGGGCCTTTGCAAATAGAATTGCGTTTCAGTTAGGATACCGTGGTAATTACTTTACCAACAAAAAAAAAGGTACTGCGATACATACTTCATGTTTTACCCTTCTATCACAGTTAGGCACTTTTCTTTTCTTTTTTTTTTTGCAGGAGCACATACACTAGGATTTTCACATTGCAACCAGTTCTCAAGCAGGTTATACAACTTTAACAGCACACACAAGGTTGATCCAACAATTGATGTAACCTATGCTAAGAAACTCCAAGAAATGTGCCCACAAGATGCACTTCCTGGAGTAGTCATCCCCATGGATCCAGACACCCCTCAACTGTTCGATAACACGTATTACAAGAACCTACAGAGAGGGAAAGGGCTGTTCACTTCTGACCAGACACTAGTTACTAAAAGGGGATCAAGGAGAATAGTGAATATCTTTGCATCAAACAAGACGGCTTTTGAAAGGGTCTTTATTGCTGCCATAACAAAGCTCGGAAGGTTTGGGGTCAAAACTGGAAATCTTGGTGAAATTCGGAAAGATTGCGCTGTAGTGAACTAAGTAAACAGAAGATAGAGTAGATCACAGATTCATATAGGACCATTCTGTACCACTTAATTCAAATTCCAATAATTACGCAATAATATTTAATGATGTTCATGAAGAGTACGTAAAAATGGCTTACTTGAAGCCTCCCCTGGCCCCTAGACGCACGACACCTACTACTCCTAGCACAACCCATAATAGTGCACAATGA